TACAATTCCTGCTGGACCAGAGACTTGAACTCACAACCTTTAGGTTACAAGTCTGACTCTCTAACCATTAGGCCATGACTTCCCCGAAGGAGGCTTTCTATATTGGATAAAATTGGATAATTGGATTAACAATTTCAAGTCACATTTCAAAAGGAACTCTTTGCTACCAACTTTTTTCCAAAAGTTAGATTACAAATTATATACCATATCTTATCTTTATGTTTAATAAAATGTTCAAATCAAGCATACCTCCTTGATTATTTGAATTACATGAAATATTTCTATTTAAATAGTGAGGCTTGTTTTTCCATATGACATTGAATAAGGTTGAGTCAATTTTTTAAGAAAATATTTTGGTATATCTAATAATACTTAAGACTAAACGAGATAATCCATCAGATTTGGACAAAAGAATCTTTGAGTAAGAAATCCCTCATGAACCACATATTCAATTTCTTTCTAATTTTCAAGATAATGGGTTGGGGTTGTGCCCTGTCTGACTGATTTTTACAGATATTAATACCAAGATAAGTTACTTCCTCCCAATACCTTCAAATTCAGTTAAAGGAATGCCATTGTCTTTAAGTGGAAAACATTTACATTTTTAACATTTAGAGATAAACCTGCTTCAGAAAATACGTTGAGACACTCTTATAAATTTCTTAATCTATGATATATCTTTCAAAAAACAAAAACCTATATCATCAGCGAGCTGACACCATTTAAATTCTCTATCCCTAATTCTGAAGCCTTGAAAAGAGTTGTTATGTAGGCCTTTATGTAAAGCCATTGTTTATGAGCAGAAGAAAAAGAAAAGGAGCCGCCGCATCTCCCTGTTTTATGCTAAACAATGCTAAATCTACGAGTTGTTCCCCAAGGAAGTTCAACTGAAATTATAAAATTAATACTGAACGTATTGACCAAAACCAAAAAGATCTAATACATCAAATAAAAAAATATGTTTTACAGTATCAAAGGCTTTGTGTATATCTATAAATAGAATGTAACTCTTATTGGTTATGTAATCCTTAAATCTAAGACTGGATGTCATTACTCATATGTTTTCCTTAAAGCCAGACAGACAACCAGGGTGACACCAACTTACAAAATTACATCATCCATGCAGCACTCTATAATGCTTTTATAGATTTCCAATATTTTAATTGCCACTAAATCGAAAGAAATACTAGG